TAGGGAGTGACTCAGTGGGAGGGGAGGGTCAGTTCTTTTTAAATGGCCACCAACGAACACTCAGTGTTCCTTCCCTCTAGTTCTCCTTCTCCTTCTCACCCCAGTCCAGGCACGTCTATGTGCAGGGCAGGGGAGGATGGGAGGCAGGCATGTTTCTGACCCAGCACACAGGCTTCCAGATCCACTGCTCCCCCAGGAGGCCTTCCATGCTCTGGACCTCGACACCCAGAACCTGCCCCCGCTCAGCTGCAGGTCTTTGCCCGCAGTGGTTCTCAACCTTGGCTGCACATTAGAATCACCTGGGAATCTTTTTAAAATCCTGATTTCTGGGCCTCATCCTCCGGAAATTCTGTTTCTTTGTTACTAATGTTGCGGTGCAGGCCCTCCTGCCCTCCTATCGCCATGGCAATTGCTCCACACAGGCCAGCTGGCAACCTCAACTGGCTTTCCAATGGTGATCACCGGCTGGGGGGTCGGGAAAGGCGGCCTTTGCCCACCCTCCAGCTCTTGCCTGCCGCCTGGGTTGCTGATCACCATTCTTCAGTCCTTCCCCTTTCTCCTCCCAGCATTGCGGCTACGTATGCAAATTAACTGCCATCTTTGTTGGTGGTTAACCGCCATCTTGGCTGGCAGTTAATTTGCATATCACCCTGATTAGCCAATGGGAAGGGTAGTGGATGTACGGCTAATTACCATGTTTCTCTTTTATTAGATAGGATAACATGCACATAGAAAAGTACAGAAATCCTAAGTATATAGCTTGATGAACTTTCAAAGTAAACACCTACATAATCAACACTCAGATCAGGAAGGGAGGGAGGGAGGGAGGAACAAGAGGTGAGAACATGGTCCTACTGAGTAATTTTTTCCTATATGGCAAGCACTTTTTGATTCATATTTTATAAAACTTCTTTACTGATAACACATATTTTCTTCTAAAAGCTTTATTGCTTTCCTTTGCATTCAGAAATAAAATCCATCTGAAATTGATCTTTCTGTATGGAAGGAGATAAGGATGAAGACCCATGTTTTTTCCCCTGAGTATACAATTGACCTGGCACCATTTACTGAAAAAACATCCTTTACCCACTGTACTGTCACCTTTCTTATTAATCAGATGGTCCTATCTATAAAATAGAGGCAGTTTTTTAAAAAGAATTATGTTTCTTGACCTAGCTGGTTTGGCTCAGTGGATAGAGTGTCAGTCAGTCCATGGACTGAAGGGTCCAGGGATGAATTCAGGTCAAGGGCACGAACCTGGGTTGAAGGCTCGATCCCTGGTCCTGGTTAGAGTGTGAGCAGGGAGCACCAATCAATGTTGTCTCTCTCACATTGATGTTTCTCTCTCTGTGTCTCTCCCACTCCCTTCCACTCTCTCTAAAAATCAATGGAAAAATATCTCCAGGTGAGGCTTAACAACAACAAAAAAGGAATTGTATTTCTTTTTCCTAAAATATGCCTCCTTTGAAGATCTCCTTCTACCTGTTAAAAGTCAACCAATTTTCTGCTGGACCCATGTGGCTCAGTGGTTGCTTGTTGACCCATGAACCAAGAGCCACTGGTTGGATTCCCAATTCCTGGTCAGGGCATGTGTCCAGGTTTCTGGCTAGATCCCCAGTAGGGAACATGCAGGAGGCAGCCGATCATGTTTCTATCTCTAGCCTTCTCCTTTCTTCTCTCTCTAAAATCAATAAAAACACATTAAAAAAAAATGTTAACCAGTTTTCATTAGGGAAATGCAATTCTACACCACGATGATTTTCTACTTTATACACACTAGGATGTCTACAATAAAAAAGACAGGTAATAACAAATGTTGATAAGGATGTGAATAAATTTCAACCCCCATTCATTGCTGGTGGAACTATACAAATGGCACATCTACTTTGGGAAACAATTCACTTTGTTTTACCCAAGAGAACTGAAAACATTATATTCAAATGAAAACTTGCACATGAATGTAAAATAAATTGCGGATACACAATGACATGGATGCTAAGTGAAACAAGTCAGCCACAAAAGATCACATATGTATGATTCCATTTATATAAAACTAGAGGCCCGGTGCACAAAATTCATGCACTGGGGGGTGGGGGTTGTCCCTCAGCCCGGCCTGCACCCTCTCACAATCTGCGACCCCTCGGGGG